CATGCAGGCCTCTTATCTCATATATCATGTTTACTACCAATTTTTAGTCCTAGAGGCTACATATGCAAATGATTTATATATTTTTTTTCAAAAATTAAAAAGCAAAACAAAGAAAAAGGGAATAGTGAATGAATGACTTGAGTTCAACTTGTCCAAGTCAACTACTAGCCAGCTGCCAATTATTAAGCAGAAAAAGGTGTTTTCTGATAAAGAGAGCTACCAACACTCTAAATTTCTAATTGTTTACAGAAGAGCAGATTACCTCGCTAAGCTACATTGCAGGGCCTTCTCTACAAATATACATCACTAACCAATAGTCAAATAGGCTACCTTCTCTTTCTTTCTTTATGAGCAATAAAGCCAGTTATTATTGTTCCCCTCCCCTAAACATAGGGCATCTAAAACATCTTGCCAAAAAGAAAAGGAACTTAAGAACTTAAAATAAGATAAATCTCTATTAGAAAAGATTTGACTGATTTTAATGGATTATCTAAATTGAACAATAGTTTCACATTTTCTTCTTACTCTTATGACAAGACCAAGATATCACTCTTCAACCTCAGTTGGCCCATAGATAACCCTCAAGCCAATGAGTCATTTTAATTTAACTCAAAAATGAATTAACCAGGTTTCAAAATATTGGGAATGTTATGAAATTTCAACAAAACATATAGACAAACCTTTCCAATTGAAACATCTTTCCCTGGTGTTGGTGCTGGTTTTGATTCAGCTTCCTCACCCTGCCATTCATAAAAGCAACACTTGCATGTGAATCACAAAATGATTTAATCTAGAGAAAGTAAAAGTTTATGTATTCCCTACAAATTCACTTAAGATATACAAAAAAGTGAAGCCATCTGATGGCAAAAGAAATTCCACACCTGTAGATGCCATATCAGAATATGGGCAAACAAGTCGCTTCTTTGAGTTGCTCCAAGTAAATATCCCACCGCTAACCTCCGCAAAATAAGGAACCATAAATACAAATATTAAGATCTGAACCAGGAAGACAAATTTCAAACAACAAAACATATCTGATCCACAACTCTAGCAAGAAGGGACAAGTTGGATAACCCCAATCCTGAAGTGATTGAAACCCAATACAATTACATTAACAAATATACTATGATGAGAAGCTTAAAGTAAATTTGATGGGAAGAAGTGAAGAAGAGAGGTAAGATCATATGCAAATTGCTACATTTCCTCACAATGTAAATGTTCCATTTCCATAATGCTTGCTTAGCCTGTGTGATGTATGTAGTAAAGATAACGATGTAGTAGAAGCCATGAAACAAAAGCTCCAATCCCAATTTAGTCCTTCCTCCAAAATGCCCGAATTCCAAGTGTTCTTCAACGATCAACCCTCCAATGATTTCAACACCCTTTTCACCTTTCTTCCCAAAGAAGGACTCTACTTTGTTGTTGGGGTTTCGGGTTCCTTCCATGGCCCCATGCACTTTGTTGGGATAGTAATCTAACTAGCCCATAAACGTAATAAAAGCCCATGAGGTCCAAATACAAAGAAACACATGCATGAGTCACTATAAAACCCATATACACTCAAATGAATCTGAAGGGACTAATAAAAGTGCAACATGTGTAAAGCACTTCTAGGGGGCCTATAAATACCCTCAACTATTTTCATACAAGATAATAACTTCATTATGCTTCTCTCTCTATAATTATTCCCCTTGAAAGCTTTAATCTCTAGATGATAGAGTGTTGCTTACTTGAGTATCGAAGTGTCAATTATGAAGAAATACCCTTGGGTTTTTCAAGTGTTGGAGCAATTCGTGATCTCAATAGTAAGAGTTCATGAAGTTGCCAAACATTTAGTACCATCTATGGGAACGAATAAAAAGCTTTATTACTTTGTTGATCTAGTTGATTGCAGAGGGAAGAGAGGAATGAGACCCACAATAAAGCACTGGCTTTCAAGTTGGTTTGCAAATGATAAGTCATAGAGCTCCAACAAAGAATGACGAGCTAACAAAGCTCAAATGAAAAATGACGAGCTCACAAAGCTTCGATGAACAATGATGAACAAGCAGAGCTCTAACAGAGAATGACGAGCTGAGAGAGCTCGATGAAAAATGACAAGCTTATACAAATCCAATAAAGAAAGATGAGCAGAGAGAGCTTTGATGAAGCATTATGAGCAGAAAGAGCTCAAATGAAAAATGACGAGCTCATAAAGCTCCGGTGAAGAATGACGAGCTCACAAAGCTCCGGTGAAGAATGATAAGCTCATAGAGCTCCAATGAAGAATGATGAGCTAACAAAGCTTTGATGAAGAATGATGAACTTGTAGTGCTTCGTTAAGAGAGCTCAGATACGAATGACAAACTCACAGAGTCTGACGAAGAATGATGAGCTGAGAAAGCTCTAATGAAAAATGATAAGCTGAGACCCTAAATGGGTAGGTTCCCATAGGTTCCCATAGAGGATTGCCAACTAAAACCCTACATGGGTGGGCTCTCACATAGAATTACGAGCTAAGATCATGAATGGATTAGCTCAAGAGAAACTTGAATACTTAGACTTGAATGGTCCAACAAAGAATTATAATCTCAGAGGAAATGAGCTGAAACCCTACATGGGTGGGCTCTTATTAAAAATTACAAGCTAAGACCCAACATGGGCAAGCTTAAATAGTGAGTTTGAGCTAAGATCCTGATGGATGGGCTCTAGAGAAATTGCATTGAGGCTCTAATGAAATTGAGCAAAAACCATGTGTCGTGCACTCAAAACTCCAATCTAAAGTGCTTTGACCAAATTTTCAACAAAACCCTTAAACGGTGAGCTTTGACCTTAAATATTGGAGCGAGACCCCTAAATGGTGAGCTCCTCTGTAAAAGTTATATACGACTTACGAAGAACTCCTTTGTATAAAAAGTTTAAAGGTCACGGGCCCCAATCACAAAGTGTAAAAGCTCGTAAAAATAATCACATGAATTCCTTCTCTAGCTTTATTTATGAGTGGCTAGATTCTTTCTCCATCATTTGCCCCTAAGTCAATGCAAGAAGGAGCTAACATTGTTTGTAAGAAGCTAAATTCTTTCTCTAGTTTTATCTCCTTGGGCACAATTCTTTCTCAAGTAAACTTATTCAACTCGACATCCAAAAATGAATTCTTACAGGTCTTAAGAGTTTGCTAACTCCTTCTTGGCTTAGAAGACTCAAAGATATGTTATCAGCTTTTGAGACCATTGGTTCATCAAAAAAATTTATTGGCCTTTGAGTCTATTAGCTATTGGCTTTTTAGCCCATCTGCTCTACAAGAGCTTGTGCCCGTCAGTTATTAACTTCTCAACTCATTTGTTCTATGAAAACTTAGTTTAATCTTAGCTCTACAAAGCACAACCCTCAAAGGATTTAATTTCTATGTTATGACTTAAGAGGTCAAGATTTTCATATAGATATCCCAAGGTAGGATTTTGTGGTCGACATCCCTAGTTGCCAAGTTGACATTCAATCAGCTCTATAAGAACTGGTTTTGATCTTAGCTCTATAAAGCATGACCCCTAAAGATTTGGCTTCTACATTACGGCCCATGAAGCTCCAAGTCTAGGTCGTCAAGTTCTAGGATGACATTCTTTGCTATGCCTCATGATTAAGTTCATGGAAACCTGAGCTTCCAGGTCATCATTCTTAACTTCCTAGTTCCAGGTCATCATTCTTAGCTTCCTAGTTCTAGGTCATCACTCTTAGCTTCCTTGTTCTAGGTTGTCATTCTCAGCTTCCTAGTTCTAGGTGCTCATTCTCAACTTCCAGGTTGGAAATCTCAAATCAAGGTTTCCAAGCCAAGCTCCTCAAGAATAAATTGGACCTTTATACAACTTATAAAAGCAAGAAGCTGAACCATTGTGAATTTTCAACAAGTTTACAAATCACTAGAGGGGGAGTAGTGTTGGGATAGCAGTCTATCTAGTTCATAAATGTAATAACGGCCCACAAGGCCCAAATATAAAGGAGTACATGCATGAGTCACTATGGAGCCCACATACACTCAAAAGGATCTGAAGAGACTAATAAAAGTGCAACATGTGTAAAGCACGTCCAAGAGGCTTATAAATAGCCCTAACTACCTCCATGCAAGGTAATAACTCCATTACGCTTCTCTTTCTGCAATTACTCCTCTTAAGAGTATTGTTGACTTGAGCATCAAAGTGTCTACCCCAAGGAAACATCCTTGGGTTTTTCAGGTGTTGGAGTAGTTCGTGTTCTCAACAGTAGGAGTTCGTGAAGCTGCCCAAACACACTTAATTGGCTCTCAAAAGTACCGAAAAAGCTGCTAGACAAGAAGTCTCCTGCATGGAACAAGGGGAGGGTTCACTACCCAAATTCTCCAAAAGAAAAGGTTGATGCTTACAAACGTCAGTTTTTTGAGGATATGAATAACTTCTTGAATGCCAAAGAGAAAAAGATTATGGCCGGAGGTAGGATTGTTCTAATTTGCCTTCAATCCAATATGGGCAACCTCATTTTGCAATTCCTCTAGTAGTTTCTTTTGACTCAATGGCATCTATCCTTATGGATATGGTGAAAGAGATAAGTAAATGACTAATCAATTCAAACGTTGGAATTTCAATTAAGAAATTATAGTTGATATACATAATTTTATATCACCTTGAACATGCGTATGCATACTAATTCACACACATG